CCCATAGTGCGTTAATGCTGCCAAATACTGCAAGCCTGTGGTCCAGATCGAAGGGACTTTCTTGTATGGAAAATACAAGCAAGTTTTATTATTGGCAGTTGTCCAAGATGGCAATCGCAACATTCTTCCAGTTGCTTTTGCTCTTGTCGAAGGAGAAAATACAGATTCTTGGGCTTTTTCCTCCGAAATTTACGTGCACATGTTATCACGAGGGAAAATATTTGTGTCATTGCAAATCGCGGAGCTGGGATCAAAGCAGCAATGGAGTCTTTGGGTCCAATGTGGCAACCACCCTTTGTCCAACATAGGTATTGTCTCCGATACATTGCTGCGAACTATCATGGAAGACACAAGAAGAATGATGAGCGTCAATTAATTGTGCGCATGGGTAAGTGAAAGCAAGTTAGTAAGTTATACATTTTTTGATCATTTTAATTTTGCAAAGAAAGCAAGTTAGTAAGCTATATATTTTTTGATCAGGTTACGAACTACTTGAATCAATGCTTCAAGATTTGCGGGCGAAGAACGAGGAATGATACGATTACATCAGCCTCATCGATAAAGAAATGTGGACGAATGCATATGATGGTGGATATCGATATGGACACATGACGACCAACTTGGCTGAGGCAATCAATTCAACCTTAAAGGGTGCACGTTACTTACCTGTAGCGGCTTTGGTAAAAACTACATATTTTCGTTTGAGGGCGCTTTTTGCGAAGCTCAGGGGACAAGCTCAAACTTGGATGCAAGGCGGTCATGTCTATCACCCTAGATTAGTTGCAGATCTACAGAAAAAAAATTGATGCATCAAATGGAATGTCTGTAACAAGTTTCTCTAGAAGGCATGAAATGTTTCGTGTCACAGAGTTGTCGCGACCTCTTCAAGGGATTGAAGCTATGTCATTAAGAGTAAATCTAAGGGACAGAACGTGCGACTGCGGGTTTTTTCAAGCTCTGAAGTATCCATGCTCTCATGTGATAGCAGCTTGCTCGCATACACGTCAAGACTATAACCATTTTGTGGATCTCGTATACCTACTATCTGAAGTTTTTAAGGTATACGGATTTGAGTTTCCCCCCATAGGTAATGACAAAGACCCTGATGAGGTTCAAGATTGGCTTCCGATTGTATCAAATCTGAGTTTATTGAGGGAGCGTGGTCGTCCAAAATCCAATCGAATTCATTGTAATATGGATATTCGAGAAAGATCTAGACAAGACAGAAGATGTGGCCATTGTAGAAACGCAGGACACACTAGAAAAATATGTCCACTTCTGTTGTCATCAAGTAACAATTGATGAGGAAATGATGTATTTGTTTATCAAATAATAATTATTGTATTTTAATTTGCATTTACTTCAAGTTAATGTCATTCGATAATCACTGATGAAGATTAAAAAACGAACACAATCATTAAATTTTATCAAACTAATAACAATTTGGTATTTAAATACAACAAACTTACAATAAGAATTAAATGGTAAATGATAACCAAATTACAATAACTGATATTAAATGGTAATAAACAAAATTAACTGAAATATATTAAAAAAGTCCAACAAATTTAACAAAATAAAGTAAGTATTAAATGAGAAATAATAAAAAATTACAATTAAACAAAATAAAGTAAATACAAATATAATAAAAAAATCTATCGATGACTACGTCGCGAATGTGTTCCACAGGGCGGTGGCTGTCGGTCTCGAGGAGGATTTCTTCGTATCATTGGTTCTGACTCCTCGTTGTCATCATCGTCGTCGTCGTCGTCGTCCTGAGCAGGTACATTAGGTTGATGAGGAGCTGATGACGATGAAGCACCTCCATAGAATAAAGACCCTGGAGGTGTATAACTGACTACCCCACCGGCCTGCAAAAATTGGGAAAACTGGGAAAACCCAGACATCGCTGAGTGTGAAAATGTACAGGAGGTGTCTGTGCTGCGGCCATGGGTGATGAGGTTGAACCCGCAAAATATCCAGTATATGAACCCCAAGTTGAATCTACAAACATAGACCCATAATAGCCTCCAGGAGGGGTCATCTGTGACGGTGGCGGCGGCGGGCTCATAAAATCAGGTGAAGGCGGCGGCGGTATCTGGTAATGGAAAGGTGATGGCGGTATCATATGGGGTTGCGGCATCATAAATGGCTGCGGTGGATGCTGTGAAGGTCCTGCTGGTGTAGCTGAGGATGAATCGGAAGCACCTGGTCTCCGTCCACGAGTCGGGGGACGATGTTGCTGTGTCGGATTACGTCTCTGTCGACGTCGTGGAAAGGTCTGCCCTTGTACATCATTGGGAAGCAGAAACGGTTTCCCGTTACTATTGAACCACTCATAATAACCGTCAGTATACATCAAGAGGTCATAAAAAATGGGCTCTCTACGGGGAAGGCGCCGATATCGATCTTCCCACAACACGACCCACTCATGATGCCTCACCAGCCAATCTGTATCTGTCTTGCCGCATCTATCTAAGTTATGCAACTCATCCATATTACGAGGTGCTTCCGGAATTGGTTGAAAACAACCAAACTGCCGGAGCACGCGATCAGTGGAGTGCCACTCGACGGTCGCATAATAGATCAGAGGGACCATTGCCGTCCAAACATCTGATGGACCCCTCAACTCAGGTGGGATCACCGCCCTCACATCATCAGTAGAATATGGCACCCATTCAAACTAAAACAAATAATATATAATTTTTATCAAAAGAATAATCTAATTATATAACAATAATCTAAAATCGATTTTTAAACATTAAAATTCATACCTGTGTGCCAGCCTTCTGATCGATTAGCACCCTAATTTTTTATAAATCATCAGGTAGCTCCTGATGATTTTTCCTATCAGTAGACCACCTATTCAAGAAAAAAAATTTATTATACGCTGTATAAAATTATTAATATACAAAATCAATTTTATAATTACCTCAGAAGTAGTGGAAATACGAATGGGTTCTTCACAACGGGACATAAAAAGGGCAATCGATACCATGCCCAAGATTGCAGTAGTAGGAGACATCCGCCAATAGCATTACGTCTGTAATCAGTGGCTCCACACATCTCCCTGTACAACAAAGCCAAAACTGTCGAGCCCCAACTGAATGATCCGGCGAGACGAAAGTCGCTAAGATGTCGCAACCACATGCAGTGAACTAGGTTGCGCGATTTGTCCGGCATCAGCAACCCTCCTATCAACTGCAATATGCATGCCCGTTCATACATCTTAACCTCACCCTCAGAGGCGTCTGCGCTCAACTCTTGAAAATTGGCATCTAACCAATTTAACGGTATCCTACCTCCGATAAAACTTTCCGGGACACGCCCTAGATTATCCCGACACAAAGTAGTCCAAGAACCGGAAGCTATCCCTGCTATCACATCTCCATCCACCGGAAGCCCCAGGTGCATAGAATCATCCTTAAGCGTGATCGTGCACTCTCTGCACGGAAGATGGAATGTGTGGGTCTCCGGCCTCCACTGCTCTACTAAGGCAGAAATACGGTCTGGTTCTATCTTACAGTGACCCTGATATCTACCTATGTAACCAAATCCAGCCTTTACTAAATACGGCAAGACACGACTAGGTATCACTAACTTAAGATTCCTAATAAAAGGAACTAATATACGGTCCTTCTCCTAAAAATAAATAATTACAAAAATTAATTTTTAATCTAATAATCATGCATTAAATAAATCAACTAATTATTACTAATAATTTAAATTAAATTAAAACGTTAAAATGTTACCGTATCAGCAAAGTGTCGAGATATATGATTTCCATCCAAGCGAAGTAGACCGCTTTCCATTATATATCTACAAAAGAATTATATTAGTAAAATATTAAATAAAGTAAAATACTTAAATAAATTAAATACATAATATTAAAAATATTATAAAATATACCTTAAACAGAGAGAGTATTTGAGAGAATTTGAGAGAATTTGGTGTGATGAAAGTGATTGAGGATGGGGGTATTTATAGGAATGATCGGGGTGTGGAGGGGTGGGTAATTAAAGGTATAACGCCCCCTGTATCGCGCTATACCCCACGTGTCAGATAACCAGATATAGCGTGGCCCCTGATCCGCGCTATACCCCTACGTGGCGTATAGCGCGGATCAGGGGGCGCGCTATACCCACATGTAATCCATGACAGCGTATAGCGCGGTGCAGGGGGCACGCTATACCCAACGTGACGCCAAATCAGCATATAACATGATTTAGAGGGCGCGCTTTACTGCTACGGGTGTTAGATCGGAAAATATAATCTGATCGGTGTTAGATCGGTAAATATACCGATCATCGGTGATTTTTCAGAAATTTCACGTAATAAATGAGTATTCTAATTTAAGGTCAAAGTGCTTAACTTATATATATTTTAAATTTATATAATAATTATAAGATAATATTTATTATTCATTTAACTATTTATAATATATATTATACTATACAATACAATATACTATACAAATGCAGTCTTCAAATATATACTTAATGACAATTTGGGAAAACACAAATTTATACTAGTGGGTCTAAATTTTAATTAATCCTTTATGTTTGATCTATTGAACAATTAATTAAGATCTGGTTTTGTAAAGGTTCGTTGTGGGGTGATTCTCTCAACCTAGTTAACTCTAGACACAAACGGCAAAATTTAAATATCTGACCTTATTTAAGAAGTCTAGTACATCATCTTACTAAATCAACTAACTGTTGGTCAAATTTTTTAAATTTTAAGAAATAATATATTTATAAAATTTTAAATAAAAATAATTTTTTAATAAAAAGATATATAAATTTTTGGAATGTATAATAATTTTAAATTTTAAGAAAGAACGATTATCTTGAGCCGTCCTCTGGTTCATCCTGATTTTGCTTGCAACTTATTTTCTGTTTCTTTAATTTACCAGTTCCATAATTAACACAAATTTACAAACCTAAATAATTAATATCCACTATTTGCATCCAAAACGACACCGTAAATAGGGTAAGGATTCAGGTCACAACGTAAGCTCCGAAATTTCCATCATCGGTTTCTAACAAGCCTCCAAACGCCTCAAAGTCACCATTATTACTATGATTATTGTTGTTGGCAACCGAGTCACCGCCGATTTCGAACTCAAACGATTCGTAACCCGGAATCGGGAACTCAAACCCCATCATCTCCCCAATTCCATCCCCTCCTAACACCACACTTTCCTCAACATCAACGGTCCCGAATTTCTGTCCCTCCTCAACAACCGAGAAACTCGGCGGCAAACCCAGTTCATCATCCGATGCCTGGAAAAGAAAACCTAGATCCGGCCTCGACTCACCGGGTTCCGATGATTTTTCCGGCAGCTTCGCTTGATTCGGGACTAGTATCTCTTCTTCGAAACTCTTGAGCACCGAGTCTAGTCCCTGAATCACTGGCTCAGGTTCAATGACCGGGTCGGAATCGTCCAAGAAGTTGAGCAAATCCTCCTGGATAATCTTCGACTCCCGCAACTGAATGTCCCCATCATCGGCGTCGGGTCCTTGGTGAGTAAACTCGTGTGAGTCTGAGCCGTTATTAGCCGAGTCGAGACGAGCGAGTTTTAACATAGCCGCCTCCGACTCAAATTCCTCAAACGCTTCCCGGACTCTCTTCTTGTTGTCGTCACTTTCCATTGGAGAATGAGTTTAGCTCCGAATTTAGAAAACAAAACAACCTTAATGTTCAAAGTTCAATGCATTAACTTAGTCATTGGATAGGGGAGACTTCCCAAGGAGCAAACGAGTAATAAATTTCTTTTAGGGATCAGTGTTTGGATGGCCAGAAAAATACTAACAGAGGTAAGAAATTGAAAACAAATGGAAGAAATAGAGAGGTGGCAGCGGACCTGAGTTTTTCTAGAGAGAGAAAATGGGGAATGCTGGGTGAGTTGGGGAGAAATACTGAACCGGTTTATATAATAGTTGCAGAACTACCATTGTCGAAGTTTGATTTTACATTTTCTTTTCGAAAAGTTAGATTTATCTTTTTATTTAGTTTAATAATTGGTGTATTCTTGCAAATATGTATTAGTTATTTATTTTCGTTTTCAAAATCATATATCACATTATGTTTTAGTTATTTTTTAATTATTTAATGTTAAAAAATAAATAAAATTATTAATATGATAAAATTATTCTTTAAAATATCTAATTATAATGTGACAATAATTTATGATAACATGTTAATACTATTGTTAGTTTTCTAATAGTAAATGATTAAAACAAAATTAAAATATAACTTTAGGCAGTGACGGATGTATATGGTAATCAGGGTGGATACATACCAAGCCTGAAATATGAATTTCTTTGTATTAGTTATCAATTTTATTAATGGTATTTACTTTAAAATTTTATTTGTTTCTATCTCATACAAATTTTTTTTATTATTAATATATATGTGTCTATACTCAAAAATATTTTTGGTTTCATTATAGACATTAGATGTGATTTTAAAAAAAATCAAACTATCAAAATAGAACTGCGAAAATAGATGTATGAGTAATTATATAGTTTACCCTTTAACAATTTTATAATTTAGATGAAGACAACCACGTCTAATGCGTGTGTGCGTGTCAAGTAGATGTAAATTTACGGAAACATGTTACGTATTATAATCTAATCAAACGGTTTAAAATATAAAAAATAAAAAAAAATAAATAAATATTATCTTAATCAATCGAGATAATGTCAAGTTTACTTTAAAAAAAGACAAACAACATATAAAAACCAAAAAATATACTTTAATAAAAATATACTATAAAAGTGAATTTATCAAAATAAAAAATAAAAAAAATTGAAAGAAAAATATTAACAGCAACCCATCAACACTGAAACTAATATCATCACTCAAAAAATCTAGGCGGCTATTCATACTCAAAAATTTTAATAATAAAAATGCAGAGATTAGTTAACGGGTGCCTTTTAATTGCAAATTTGGTTTCATAAATTGAAGAAGTTGAAAGTGATGGACGGTCTTAATAGACATATGAACAAAATAGACTCCTCTCATACGCGGCAGTAGGTGAATAATAATAATATGACAAAAAACGTTTATTTAATTTTAAAAAATATTTTAAAGTGAAAATGAAAAAAAAATCAAAGGTGAAAATATTGGAGTGCTAAATAGTCAATTTTTTAAATAATATTTTAAGTAGTGTAAGTATTATAAATAAAAGGGTAAATTACACCGTCACTGTATTTTACTTTATTTCCTATTTCATTCATTGTACTTTAAAACTAGTCAATTTTCTCTCTGAACTTTATATATTTAGCGTTTTTGGTCACTAAACTTATTAAATTAGTTTTTTGATCACTGGGATGTTACCTCCGTCATCTTTATGGGTTTTTGACGAAACTTTGATTAGTCCTCGACAGCGAACGACGACACTTCATGGAGCGGGGTCAGCAGGGGTTTTATTAGAGCACGAAGATGCTTCCGATGTCATAGGCGGTAACACTCACCGACGAGTTTTACCAGACGACGTCATATCGCCGTTTGTGGGGAAAACGACTGAGTGACCAAATTTGTCAATTATATTAAGTTCAGTGATGAAATTGATCAGTTTTAAAGTACAGTGAGTGAAATAGGAAATAAAGCAAAATACAGTGATGTTCCGTGTAATTTACCCTAAATAAAATTATATAAATAAAATTTTTAATCCAATCTGATTTTAATATGATAAGAATACACGTAACTAATATACAAATAGAAAAAAATCAAGCATTATGACTTTATTTAAAAATTAAAATCATTAAGTGATTTCAATAGTTAAAGATAATGTTATTCTCGGTAGAGAATTTATGTTCGAGTAATTACGTCTGAAATTATGTATGTTTTATCAATGAATAAAAAATATTCTGAACAAATATTATATTATAATCACCCTTACTATTCAAAAATCTTATCTTATGTATGCATAAATAATAAATTATGCTATTTCTATAATAACCAAATATTTATATTTGATAAACTTTATCTTAATAAACTTTACTTTAGATATAATTTCAATTTAGCTCGTTTTTTCTCTTTAATTAAATATTAAATATATCATTAATAAAAATATTTTTTCATTATCTATTTTCTAGTTTTCTATTTGTTTTATTTTTCATGTCAAACAAATCTTTAATTATTAATTTGAAAGGAATGGGAACCTAAAAATTGCTTTATGTATGCATCAACGAAATTTTAAATGAAAGTAATAGGGATCTAACTCAGAAATTTCCAGGAAACAATGAGAGGGAGGGGAGACGAGAAATGATAATTACGTGCCATCCTAACTTTCCTAGGTGGGTTCATCGCAGGTACGAGGTCTAAAATTCTAGGCTTAATTATAAAATAAGTGTCCAAACAATAATTATTTTCTCGAGTACGTGTCTAAATTATTTTTTGAATGATCTCCGTGCCTAACGTTACAAACGTTATCATATTAGGTGTTCGGACCGTTAAAAGCGTTAATTTTCTTTGTTAAGTGACACATGTCACAGTCCAGTAATTTTAAAAATAAAAATAAAAATTAAATTTAAAAAACACATAAATTTTGAAATAATCTCAAAAGTTTGAAAATCTTCATTTCAACCCCTAAACCCACAACGATCGACACCCTTTTCCGTCAACGAAGCTTTACCTGACCCCACCTCCCACTGGCGACCAAAACCCCTATGAAATCGTGACCGATCGACGGTGAATCGACATATATACCACGCAAACCCTATGATGAAAATCGTGACACCAAACGATTCTGATGACCAATTGGCAATAACTACAACAATATATAACTAGAAGGATGACATGAACTATGCCGACGACAACTGTGGGTTAGGGTTAGGATTTGAGGGTTTTGGGGATTTTTTTGTAATTTAAGAGAAATTAATGTTTTTTTTGTAAACATAATAATATTTTAGTACTTTTACAAAATAAATTTCAAAATTATCATAGAGTGACATGTGTCACTTGACGGAGGAAACTAATGTCGTTGACGGTCCAGGCACTTAAAGTGACAATGTTTGTAAGTTTAAGCACTAGGATCACTCAAAAAATAGTTTAGACACTTATTCTTGAAAAGCGCTATAGTTTGAGCACTTATTTTATAGTTAAGCCTAAATTCTATAATATATGAGCATAATCTTAAAAAATATTTCTAAATTTTATTAAAATAGTTATTTTGATCAATAATATTTTATTTTGAAAGAAAAGATCTCTTCATAGTTAAAAATATTAATTAATAAACTGTTAATGCTCTAAAATAGATGTATTTTTATTCTAAAATGAAATATTGAGTATCAAAATATTTTAAAAAATAATAAGGCCCAAAGTGACTATTCAATCAAATGTTATGAGCTTTCTTATCTTAAAATGAAATGTTGATGATCATAATACCCTATAAAAAAAAGAATATAAGCCAAAATGATCATTTTAATAAATTTTAGGAGGTTAATTTTAATATTATATGGTATATGAATATATATGATGTAGCGTTTGCATATATATTATGATAATCAAAATGTAATATTTTAAGTTAAATATATTTAAAAGTTTAAATTTATTAAAATTAAATTTATATGTAATTATTAGGATAACAAATTATATATTCATATAATTATATATCTATATTCCCGTGAGCAAATAAATTCTTAAGGTACAATTTGATAGGTTTAGATGGGGTGAATATTTAATTGATTCAAGTGGAGTTAAAAGAAATTGAGTTAATTGAGTTGATGAGTTGTTAAAGCTTGGGTTTAACTTTAATTGTAAATATTTATAATATTCTACTACTATTTTTTTTTGTTACAAAGAACAGCACCTGCCTTAGCAGTTGTTAGGTCTATTCTTCCAAGCGTTCATATCTAGATAGAGGAGTCTCTGGATGGTAGTCGTCGGATGAGCAAGATCAACCAGATCGATAAAGGCCTCACGACCAAGTTTGGCAAGTGCATCGGCACTCCATTAGCTTCACGGAGGATGTGAGTGATCTGAACTCTACATTGGTATTTAAAAAACTCATAGGTTCTGCGTACAATCATCGGTTCATAAAAATGGATGGGTGAGAAGCTAGACAACAATAGTGTTGTCCATCTCCACATCAATGTTAGTGTATGATGTATGCATGTATTTCATACATGTGCATATGTGCATATGTGAAGAGTGTGAGGTAGTTAGAGCTGTTAGAGCTAACAAACTCTCTCTCTTATCTCTAACATCTTTTCCCTCCATTTTATATTCATTCTCTTTGTGTATAAAGGCAGTGAGGGTTTACTGTAATCGGTAAGTTTTTCTTTTATGAAAGAATGCATATTGTTTCCATTTTGTTCATTCAATACCTAGTCGTTTCTATACTCTAACATGGTATCAGTCGCCAAGGGTTGGGAGCTCCAGCATCGTTAGTCTACTGATATGTGTGGTTGTGTATGATGGAGATCTCCTCCGTGCAGCACATACCCAAACATGATGTGGTTAAACTTTCTGAGGGTACCTATTTACTATGGAAGCATCAGGTATCTCTCATTATTGATGGATATGGTTTGCTTCATTTTATTTCGGATGATGGAGAGTCTCCTGTGGCTGTTACAACAACGGAATCAGGTCATGCTGCGGATACTTTGACGTTTAATCTCTATCAGCAGCAAGATAAGCTGTTAGCATCGTGGTTGCTCACTACGGTCAGTACTGAAATATTACCTCATCTTACTGGACTCACCTCTGCTTATGCTATTTGGACCACTATTGCTCGATTATTTGGTGCTAGATCTAGTGCCAAGATATCATCCCTTCGACATAGTCTCCACTCTCAACGCAAAGCTGGCCAGACAGTGAGTGAGTTTTTTGCCAAAGTCAAGTCCATTTGTGATTTGTTATGTGCTGCCGGTAGTCCAATTACTGAACACGAGCAGGTCAGTGTCATTCTTGCTGGTCTATCCATGGAATTTGAATATGTTATTGCTATTGCTTCTCGCGATAGTTTGTCGTTAGATGTGCTCACTGAAATGCTGCTTGATTGTGAGACGCGACATAAGGCTTTTCTCACTGAAGGAATTTCAGCTAATCTGGTCTCTAGATCTACTGATACTAAGGAGCGTGATTTTGGATCTTCTGAGGTTACTGTTACTACCAAGCAAGATGATGCTACGCGAGAACAACCGGGTGATAATTATCGTGGGCGTGGTCGAGGACGGTTTGATAATTCAAATCGTCCCAAATGTCAGCTTTGTGGTAAATTTGGTCATACAGTGCAAAAATGCTATCATCGCTTTGATAGAAACTTTACTGGTGTCTCCACTGATGCTCGAAGCAGTGAAGAGTGGAGGTCATCACACAATTCTGGAAACAAGCAGCAGTTTTCTTCAAATGCTCAAGCATTTACTCATGGGACGGGTGCATCTTTTCCCTCGATGAGTGCATCTTTTCCTTCCCCTCATGGCTTCTTTTATTCTAATCCGCATTTCATGATGCCTAGTTCAGGATCCTTTTATCCAGGGGTTCCATGGTACTCTCCAATGCAAGTTTATGGTGGATTAGATTCGGTTAAAAGTTCCCAAGGATTTGTGAATCCATCAGCTGCCTTTGTTTCCACTTCTCACTCACCTCGGCCATCTATGTCTACTGGTAATATTGATCCAGTGTGGTATCCTGATACGGGGGGCAACACATCATGTTGCTAATGATGTGTCTTTTCTTAATACTAGTATGGCTTATACAGGTAATCATTGCCTTCATATGGGAAATGGAGAAGGTGTTAAAATTTCTCATGTTGGTCAAAGTTGTTTGCCCTCTAAAACGAAGCCATTAGTTTTGCAAAATGTCTTGCATGTGCCTACTATTTAGAAAAACTTATTATCTGTTTCTCAGTTTACTCGGGATAATAACATCTTTATTGAATTTCATCCTTTTGAATGTTTCGTGAAGGATGCTCGGACGCAGACCGTGTTACTGACAGGGAAGCTCACGGATGATGGTTTATACCAGCTTCTGTCACCTAATATAAAGCACATGCAATTAAATAATGTCTCTAAGTCGTGTGGCCTATTAGACCTATGGCACAAAAGATTAGGGCATGCAACTCTTAGTGTGGTTAAAACAGTAATGAAATCATGTCATATTGCTGTCAATGAAAGCTCTTTATCTTCTGTTTGTAATGCCTGTTTACAAAGTAAAGCTCACAAGCTCCCTTTTTCGACTTCAATTACTGAGTACACTGCTCCTTTCCAGTTAGTTGTCTCTGATGTTTGGGGACCAGCCCCTATTATTTCAAGTGATGGTTCTGTCTATTATGTATCGTTTATTGATGTTTACAGTAGATTTACATGGCTCTATTTGATTAAGAGAAAGTCAGAAGTTATGGAATGTTTCCTCAATTTTTATAAACTTGTTGAAGTTCAGTTTGGTGTCAATATTAAGATATTACAGAGTGATGGTGGTGGAGAGTATCAGGCGTTGAAATGATGGTTTCTAGCTAATGGAGTTCAGCATCGAATCTCTTGTCCAAGTACATCTGAGCAAAATGGAAAAGCTGAACGAAAGCACCGTCATATTGTTGAAATGGGGTTGACATTACTATCCCAAGCCTTTTTGCCTTTGAAATTCTTGAGTTATGCATTTGCCTCAGCTGTGTTCCAAATTAATCGATTACCTACAGGAGTATTACATGGAAAGTCGCCTTTTGAAGTCTTACATCAACAACCTATTGATTATTCAATGTTAAGGGTGTTTGGTTGTGCATGTTTTCCTTTGGTACGACCGTTTAATCACCATAAACTTGAGTATCGATCTAAGCAGTGTATTTTTCTGGGGTACAGTCCATCACACAAGGGGTATCGTTGTCTAGATGATGATGGGAGAATGTTTATTTCCAGACATGTAATTTTTGATGAGGGAAAATTTTCATATGAAGCTTGCAAGTTAAAGAGTCATGATCGGGCAGATTCGCATGTTTTAACGAGGGAACTGCCACTTGTTTTTGCACCGCAAGTTCGAACTCAACAAGGATGTGGTAATTATGGTATGGCTGGAAATGGTGTATCACCTACGACTAATGAGGAAGGAGCTGGTAGTTCTAGTGTTCATGAAGGAAATAGTATAGAAGCAACACAATCTGTGTCAAGCTCTACTGCTGTTCCTACTAATATTCCTAATCAACCAGCTGCTGAAGTTGAATGCAACACTACTTTAAATGTTCATCCAATGCAAACAAGGTGTAAGAGTGGGATTTCGAAGCCTAAAATTTTTCAAACTATAACTTGGACTAATGAAGAACCACATAACATCAAGCAAGCTTTAACTAGTCCGCATTAGAAAGCTGTTGTTCAGGAGAAGTATGAAGTTTTGATGAGAAATAAAACCTGGTCCCTCGTGCCTCTGCCGCCTGATTGAACAACAGTAGCTTGTAAATGGTTGTTCAAAATAAAGAAAAATGCAGATGGTTCAATTGCTCGCTATAAGGCAAGATTAGTGGCAAAAGGTTTTCATCAGCAGCCAGGTATTGATTTTCATGAGGTGTTTAGTCCTGTTGTTAAACCAGTAACTGTTCGAGTTATCCTGACTTTGGAATTATCGAAAGGATGGCAGCTTAGACAGGTAGACATTAATAATGCTTTCCTAAATGGTGTGCGTGAAGAAGAAGTTTATATGACTCAGCCTCCAGGTTTTGAGTTTGGTGGTAATCAATTGGTTTGCAAATTACATAAGGCTATTTATGGATTAAAACAAGCACCACGTGCTTGGTTTAATAGTCTGAGGAACTATCTCGAAACTGAAGGATTTGTGATATCAAAATCTGATTCTTCTCTTTTTATTCGAAAGAAGAAAGATTGTTTGATGTATCTACTTGTCTACATTGATGATATAATACTCACGGGTGATAAACCAAGTGAGGTGCAGGTGGTTATTAATAAACTGCATGAAAGATTTGCCTTAAAAGATATGGGTTCTCTCAGTTATTTCTTAGGCATTGAAGTCAGTTATGATTCTGGAGGTGCTGTTTTGAGTCAGCAGAAATATAACTGAGCTACTAAGTCGCAATGGTTTTCAAAATGCGAATGGTCTTCCTACACCTATGGTTACCAACTGTAAGCTTTCTGCCACTGATGCTGTTGAGAATGTTTCTCAATATCGCAGCATTGTGGGAGCATTACAATATGTTGTGATCACTCGTCCAGACATTGCATTTGCTGTTAATCGTGTGTGCCAATTCATGCAAGCTCCTCTTGCAACTCATTTTCAAGCAGTGAAACGCATCTTACGATATTTACAAGGAACGATTGATTTTGGTTTGCATTTCTTGACCTCTTCTAGATTGTCTTTGACAGGCTTTGCTGATGCAAGTTGGGGAGCAGATATTGATGATAGGCGATCTACATCTGGGTATTGTATTTACTTTGGAGGAAATCTAGTTGCATGGAGTTCAAGAAAACAACAAGTTGTAGCTCGTTCAACAGCTGAAGCAGAATATAGAAGTGTTGCATGTGCATCTGCTGAAATGATATGGCTTGAATCCTTGTTGAGTGAACTGCATATTGTTCCTCATGGGAAACCTACGTTGTGGTGTGACAACTCAAGTGCTGTTGCTGTTTGTGCCAATCCGGTTTTACACTCAAAATTCAAACATGTAAAACTTGATCTTTTCTTTGTTCGCGAAATGATTGCAGCAGGAAAACTACAGGTTCTTGAGGTCCCTGCATATGAACAGGTTGCTGACATTTTAACTAAACCACTGTCAGCACCATTGTTTATAAAACATAGACAGAAACTGTTGATTGTTCAACTACAATGTGGAGTTTTTAAAGCATGAAGTTTGAAGCAGTAAGGGAAATGTTAGTGTCTATGCAGTAAGGGAGTTAGCAGAGTAAAGATTGGATTAGTAAGGGGAATGTTAGTGTATGATGTATGCATGTATTTCATACATGTGCATATGTGCATGTGTGAAGAGTGTGAGGTGGTTAGAGCTATTAGAGCTAACAAACTCTCTCTCTCATCTCTAACATCTTTTCCCTCCATTTTATATTCCTTCTCTTTGTGTATAAAGGCAGTGAGGGTTTACTGTAATCGGTAAGCTTTTCTTTTATGAAAGAATGCATATTGTTTCCATTTTGTTCATTCAATACCTAGTCGTTTCTATACTCTAACAATCAACGTGTCTAAAACCCTGGTTTCAAGCGAGCTACAAACCATCCAAAAAGGCCGAAAGTTCTGCATGTAAGATCGAGCATCTACCAAGACTTCTATAGTAACCTGAAATCCAGTTTACATTAGAGTTTTTGAGAATGTCGCACCTGCCGCCTTCATAGTTACCCGATTCACTGCTTCATCCATATTCAGGTTGGTCGTACCATCATTTGGGGGCTACAGGTCTGGTTTCTAGTTCTGCGATTGGTGGTGGGGGTAGAAGAAGGAGACTTCTTCCGGATTGATTACGCCCAAGCCCGAGCTGAGTGAAAGCTAGTCGAGGCTGACCATACTTCGTTAAAGAAGAAACTACAACTTTGCTTCCAGAGTCCCCCCCACATCAAGACTCCGAACATGTCTTCAATAATAATCCTCACTGTCAGACCCTACGGAGGAGTTAAGGTTAGTTTGTAACCAATGAAAGAAAGGTAGGGAAAAAAACTCCCTGTAGAGTTTGGAGGGATAATCGGTATCCAGGGAATCAAAAACCGGAGCGCAACCGCAATAGTGGCCGCTATTTCGCGCTAGCGCCGCCGTCCGAAACTGCTAATCGGAAAAATTGTGATGGGTGGCGAAATCACAACAATAACAATCTTTCGCGGCCGTAATTTAGCGTCTAACGGAAAATAACGTCGATAATGGGACGCTATTCCCGTTATCCACAAGTTTTCGCATAAAATAAACCCACTGCCATAGCTTGCTCTCATCATCAAAATAGAGCAAATATTAAAGAGAGAGAAAAACAAGCAACGCCAGAGAAAGTGAGTGAGCCTCTTACCAATGGCTGAAAGCTGGTCGATAAGCAATTGAGTCTTCATTTTTATGCTCATTTATCTTCTTCTTCACTTGCTGAAGATGGTATGTACTGTCACTTTCCTCCATTTTTTGAAACTCTAATTTGCATTGTTTATGGATTATGTTTTCTGGGTTTCTTGTTTTTGTTTGAGAATTACATGCTGCTTTTGGGACTTTCTAATTTTTCTTCTATTTTGGTGTTCTCTGAATGTGTTTGCTAATGAGGATTGTTGGAGTGTTTGTCGTGGAGAAGAAGACAAAGGCTTAGTCTAGGTCAAGGAAAAGATTTGGGCTTGGGGTTCAATTTGGGTATTTAAATTTTTGGGTTGTTAAAGCAATAGATCGTTTATAATTTGGATTTGATGCTGTTTTTTGGTGTATAGATCTTGGATTTTAAATTAGATTAAGAATCCAGTTAAAAAATGTGGTAAACTTGTTATCGTTTATAAGTTAGAAGCATATGTTGTTACCTTAAATTGTATGATGGAAAAATGGGTCATCAAGTATAATTATTATATTTTAGGATAAATTGTGAAAATTTTAAAAAAATTCACGACAGCGACACCCGCCGTGATCTCGATTGCATCCGTTATGTCCGCAACCGCGATAAAAGCGACGCTATTTAAATCCCTGTCGGTATCCATAGCGTGCGAGAGGTGGGGTAATCCTGGAGAACGTGGATGATGGACTCTTCCCTGTTACCGCACATTGGGCATCCAGGATCCAACGTGAGATCATGCCTGACTCTTTTCATGTTCGAACAGGGGGGGCATCCCAAGGATCCCAGCATCATTCCAAAAGTTCGTGTTTTTCCCTTCCCCGACTGACAACAAACATTATCCCTAATAATATCATAGATTTTGGATAACGATCTCCACACAAAGGAATAATTCTTGGTGTTTAAACGGTTGAGAAACCAGCCATTGAACCTGTATTTAAAATGACAAATTTTGACCCAAAGGGCGTTTTGTTGCATGAGTATAGTATAACCCAACTTGACCAAGAAGGCATCTTTTTGTTATTGGAGACCTTGAACACACATCTTTGGGGATAGCCACGATTTGTATGAAGTAATTAGAGATTGATAACAGAGTTGATTTAGCCAGGGTTACTCGTCTGACCAACGATAACTTCGAAGCCATCCAACTGTTATGCTTACCTCATACTTTATCGATGATGAATTGGAAGGTACTCTTAATAAGTCTTTTATGAAAAAAAGACATGCCTAGGTATTTTCCCAAATTAGAGTAGCCTTGAAAACCCAGAAGAGAGTAAATTTCATTCGTATGTCCATCATTGAACTTAAACGTGTTGGAGTTAACTTTGTGACTTAAAAATCTACTAAACTGATCCAGAATAGCCTTAACAAGGCTGGCTTGGTAGGAGGAAGCCTTTGTTAGATTACTATCAATGCAGCACGTGTGCATGAGGAGGCAGTTAGACTGTTAGGATTGGTTATGCTGAGGTTGTTAGTTTGTTAGACGGTTAGTGGAGCTGATGAGAGTCTAATCTTCTTGTATAAATATAATGTACCAGCTGCTATGAAGAACACAGTATACTTTCCTGTGTATTCTCTATTACGCTCACTTCCTAACAGCCTTGCACAGCAGGAGAAGGTCATCAGCAAAAAACAAATGAGATAAAAGTGGGCCCTCACGGGAGGGGATCATTAGGTCCCAGATGTCGTGGTGTATAGCATAGTGTATGTTATGACCCAAACGTTCCATAGAGAGCACAAACAAGTAAGATACAAGGGGACAACCTTGCCGAATACCTCTGCTGGGTTTGAATTCATCAGAGAGGGTACCATTTCAAAGAATATGCATTTTGAAACCGGAGAAAGAGTCCATAATAATGTGATGGATCGTATCCGAGTAACCCATGTCCTTAAGAGTTACAAAGAAAATCCCATGCTACATGGTCGTAGGCCTTTTCAAGATCCACTTTAACCTCCATTTAATGGGATTTACGTTTCTTGATACGCATGGAGTGGATGACTTCCTTCGCAATAATAATGTTACCAGTGATGCTACAAACAAAAATAAAGCTAGCTTGGCTATGAGCAATGATCTTATGGAAAATAGTTTTAAAACGATCGACAATGACCTTTATTACCAACTTATAGAAGACAATACAAAAAGTGATGCGGTAAAAGTCGACAAAAGGCTTAGGGTTGTTAACTTTAGGGATAAAGACGAGCGAAGCTTTGTTCAGCTCTAGGTCAATGGGGTTACCATCGAAAATGCCTTTAACCCAGGTGCAAACGAAAAGGCCAATAGTGTTCTATTGGTTTTGGAAGAAGAGAGCGTTCACGCCGTCATTTACAGGGGATTTGAGGGGGTTCATCTCAAAGAGTGTCTGACGGATTTCCTCATTGCCTCATTGGTGACCGTGGCGTTGAGATAATGGATGTCCGAAACTAACAAACGGGGGAAAGCATCTCTGATCGAGAATTTATCAGTGCGGTTTCCTTCGTCATGGTAAAGGTTGACAAAGCAATTAGCAGCTTACGTGCGAAGAGTATCTTCGTTGTAGCACCAATCGCCATTGCTAACCCGAAAGGTTAGGATTTTATTAGTATTTCGACGAATAATGGCACGACTACGGAAATATTAGTGTTTCCGTTGCTTTCCTTGATCCAGTATCACAAGACTTTTGTTTCCACAAATGTTTCTCTTGGTCTAAGACTTCCTCCAGTTTAGCACGGATTCTCAATTCCTCATCATGAAGAAAAACAGACCCCTGGCTATCCATAGGCACTTTGATTTTTTTAAGTTGGCCTTTGAGTTTCCTCTTATCCTGGAGAATGTGCCTAAAGACATCCTTGTTCCAAGGTTTAAGGGTCTCGATAATTTTACTAATCGAAGAATGAATGTTACCCTAAAAGGACTAGTTGTTACGAATAAAAGGACTAAAATCTGGGTGCTTAGTCCAACCAGCTAAGAAGTGGAAACGACAGGTTTTGGTAGAGGATGTAGATCCCGAAGTAGAGAGTAAGAAGGGGCGATGATCGAATCTAAGACGGGGAATGTGGTGAACGGTCGAGGAGGGGGATAAGAAGAACCAAGCATTATTGGCCACCATACGATCTGGGCACTCAAAATGCCTCCATAGGTCCAGGTAAATTTGGGGCCTGTTTAGTCAAGGCCAATGAAGGAGTGATTGTTTAAAAAATCTTGGAAGAATTTACTGCCCAGTCCTTTACGAGAGCCTCCAATTTTATCGAATTGCGAAATGACAGCGTTGAAGTCACCTGTAAGGACCTAAGGAGCACCAGACACGGTCAATCTGCTTCAGTCTCTCCAAAGGGCCTTTCGTTTATTACTGTTAGGATTACCATAAATAGCAGTGGTGTAAAAGGGAACCGTGATAGAGACACTCAAAACCTTGGCATGAATGAATTGAAGGTGGGCCATGACCACCTCCATAGAGATAGATGAGTTCCATATGAGCCAAATTTCTCTAGAGAAACCGACCGTTTCAACTCTGAACGAATTATCAAAACCGAGTTTACCAGTAACCCGATCCGCCTTATTTATGCTAATACGAGGTTCGAAGAAGGCAACCATATTCGAGTTATGATCCTACTTATTATCTGAAAAATATTTAAGGAATTTAGTTCCACCACAACCTTTGCAGTTCCACGATAGTAGAACAAAATCCATGGATAATGTAAAAAAATAAAGGGTTACCATTACTGGTTGACACCAAACAAAATCCACTAATTAACTCTAATTTTAACCACTTTCTATAACTAGCAAATGTAATATGAAACTTAGGTTTTGCATGAAAAATGACTCGAGCCTCCTGAACAAAAATACATTGAAATATCAACGGTATGTCTGGAGATCTTGTGAACACGTGTCAACGAGTCAGTTTCAAACTGAACATTTTCCCATCCCTCATCACATGCAAACCGCATCCCAGCAAGCAACGCATTGAGCTCCGTAAAACCAGCTTCAAAGCAACCAATAAAAGGTTGGGCCAGGCCACTGAGAACCTTACCACGCTAGTCACATGCCATAACGCTAACAGCCGTCATCCAACGATCTCCATCAAAGGCCCCGTCAGTATTAAGTATTAACCTTGATCACCCCCGAAGCTAGAGTGGTCCATCGAGCACAATCCTCATCCGAGGTCACCCTTCTAGCCACTCTTTCGTTTGAACGTTGATACATTTTCTCCCCAACATTTGCTCACAAATACTCTTAGGTGGTGTTTGTTTTTACAGAGGTAAAAGGTCTGCAGTCTGCGGTCCACATCTGCAGGCATCTGCAGCAGAAGAGGTGGACCAAAAGTCTGCAGTCTGCAAGAAGAAGACTGTTCTGCAGTCTGCGGACCACATCTGCAGGCATCTGCAGCAGAAGAGGTGGACCAAAAGTCTGCAGTCTGCAAGAAGAAGACTGTTTGTTTTTTAACGTCTGCAGACTGCTAAAATAAACTGAAATATAAATAAACTGATTTTTTAAACTTAA